ATTTGTAAATTTTCATCGCCAGTAACTCAATGAGGACTGCCTTAAAATAATGATCGTAGATCGTAAAATAAGTCCTTGATATATCTTCCTATGGCTACAATGAGTCCTGGTTGAGCTTTCGTCTGTTATGTGACAGACATAATCAGAATGTTAAACTATAATTTTTTTTAAAACTCGCCAGGCACCAAGATAGAAAAATTGAACTTTCTTAAATTATGACTTTTATGCTCTAAAGATGTCTATTACATGATAGACAAAGTATCAGCAAGGATTCATTGAGGACATGGAAAGTGCACTAAGGACTTATTCGCACAAATCTACTATCACAACTTTAAAACAATCCTTCTTCGGCTTTCGGTAAAATCAAATAAAAATTCCCTTCACCTAAGGAAATGTACAATAACGTGAATTTATTATGGAATTTATCAAAATCCAGCATCTCTTAATATCTACACTTTTAAATATTGTTTTATATCACATATTTATTATAGTGATTTATAGTATTCATATGTTTGTGGTCAGTATGTAAATATATTGAAGCCAAAAATTGTATTTCGAATTTTTTCGTAAATAATAGGATCTGCAAAAGCGTCTATATTTCCAACGTTTTATAACGAAATACTTTCAAAATTTAATATTTGAACAATCCATACCCGAATTAACGAGCAGACAAAAGAAGACGATATTTAAAGGATAAAAAATATAGAATATTGCATCAACTCGTAAAATGACGCACAAGCGGGGCATATATGAACTTGCCGAAGTTGGGAGTGGATACAGTAAACTCAGACGCAGTGCTATTTCCTCTCAAATTGACTGCTATTACGCTGCCTGCGTACGAAGTGCAACCATTTAGATCGTAGAAGCGTAGGTATGCACTAGGTGTAGAAGATCTAGTACTAAATTTGCTGGTCACCGAGGCAGGACTAGTCGGCGTGAGAGTAATTATATAGTAGAGTACGGAGGAGAGTGGCGCCAGAACGCTTATTTTTGGCATAGACCATGACAAACGGACTTGCTGGTAAGTGGCATTTAACAAGACGGAGACAACGGACGGTTTGTCGGGCACGTCCTGAATCGGAGCTGAAATTCAATCAAAGTTAGCATATCAATATTTGTATAAATAATTACAAAAACAGGTGAAACAATTATGACGTTTCGGAGTCGAACGAGGCTAATTGTCGATTAGGCTCGTAATTAGCAATGTATTGCGAAAATAAGTTTTATGTCAAAGATATGATAAAAAATGTGAGGGTTAAAGATACCGAGATTTCGCGAATAACCCGCAATTAATTGTTCAAGAAATGTCTTGCAGGCATAAAGGTGTCTGTAACAAGACGGATATTTTTCTAATATCCATAAAAAATCTACCGAAGCGTTACTATGAAAGGAATTGTGTTAGTCTGTCCAAGGTTGTTCCAAATATTTTTACATATCGGGTAGGAAGTATTTTGACAACAAAGTGTTGCTATCATAAGCAAATTAAGTTAATTTAAGGGAACCTATACACTCGAGAGGCAAACGAATAGGCCGATGTTCCCAGATGTCTTAACAATTGTGGTTCCAAAGTTTGAGTGAACAATAGATCTAAGAAGTGGGTTGACCTCGTTGTCGCAACTTGGTCTTGTTGTCAGGGAGACTATGTAGAACGCACCTAGTC